GCTGGTCCATCCCGACCTATCTCCTCTGATGCCCCTTTCCCGTGCCCACGGGACACAGCTCTGCCGCCCGACCCATCAGCTTGGCCATCCAACCATCGAGGCTCGTGGTGCCCTCCCCATCCTCTGCCGCCTTCCCCTGGGGTATTGCCTGCTCAGCCCTGAGCCCCTTCGCACCAGCTGGAAACTCATCCGCCACCCCAAAATCTTGCAAACCAGGTGGTAATGTCCCTTGGGATGCCTTGGCTCCAAGGCCAGTTGGGGAGATGGTGCCAGAGCTGGCAGGGACGGATGGCAAAGTCCCAACAGCTGCTGCATCCCACAGTGCGGCGATGCTCTGAGCACCCTGTGGGTGATGGAGACCTTTGAAGTACTTTCCCCAGGGACTCCAGCCTCTGCTTGCTGCTCAGCGCAGGTTTTTGGGGCTGGCAGGGAGCTTCCACTGGCCCCACAGCCCCCCACTGCCAGATGAGGTGCCCCGAAGAAGGGCCCCGAATTCGCCACATCCCGGCAAGGAAAAGCAGCCTCCCGGATGTGCACAAAGCCATTTCTTGTTTGGCAGTTTTGTTTGAAGCGTGTCCTTCATCTGGGTTTCTACAGCAACCGGGAAGTTCCCGGCCTGGCCTGGCTGGAGGGAGCGGAGCAGGAGGGCGGGAGGGGAAGAAGCCAAAAATAAGTTTTTAAAGAACTAAGGCTGCAGTTTTCACCTCCATCCTCCATCCTGGGCCTGGGGCTGCTACAGCCAGGGCAGGGCTCCAGCCCTGTCCCCATCCCTGCATCCCCAGAGGCGCTGAGGCCATCTGGGGCCAAATCAGGGGGTGCAAAACACCAGCCATGGGGGTCCCCTGGGGTGTCCCACCCTGCCCAGCCCCAGCCTGGCAGCATCCCCTGAGCCCCTCCATGGGCCGTAGGTTGAAAAGAGTGAATTACCTTAGAAACACACTTTTCCCCAAAAAAAAAACCAACTCAAAAAATGAGCCACCAGTGATTCATCTTAGGCAGCGAGTCTCTTCATTTATTCATTATGAGATAATACCCAAATCTGGCTAATTAATATTCCTGCATATTTTCCAAGGGCTGATGAGGTATCTTAAACATCTCGCCGAGATGGGCTTTCATATTTATAAGGTTGATGCGCAAACTTAAGTTGATGCCGTCTAAATATACCCCTCATGTTTAAGCATGGGGCTTCGCTCCCGGGGTGCCGGGGTGGGTTTCCCCGGGCACACCCCCTGCCTTGAAGCGGGACCTGGGTGCTCAGCGGGTGGGAGCGCCGCCCCAAAAAGGCTCCCGTGAACCGGGGAGTCATGTTGTGGTGTCCGTCCTTCTGCAAAGATGCGAGATTTTGGTTTCTTTGGATAACGGGAGCGCGGTGAGCGCTGCCGGTGGCCGTGGTGTCAGCAGCGCTTTGGGGTGAGATTGGTGGGAGAACCCACGCAGCTGGACGTGCCGGCAGGTACCAGAGCTGGACCTGCAGCTTCCTGCT